TCTGTGTTACTCAACGGGACGACATTGTGGGAAGGCATCCTGTCTGTGTAACCCAACGGGGGGACGTTATAGGGAGGCATCCTGTCTGCGTAACTCAACGGGGGGACGTTATAGGGAGGCATCCTTTCTGGGTTACTCAACGGGACGACATTGTGGGAATGCATCCCGTCTGTGTAACCCAACGGGGGGACGTTATAGGGAGGCATCCTGTCTGTGTAACTCAACGGGACGACATTGTGGGAATGCATCCTGTCTGTGTAACTCAACGGGGAGATGTTGTGGGGAGACATAATGTCGGTGTTACTCAACGGGACGACGTTGTGGAGAGATATCATGTCTGTGTAACTCAACGAAATGACATTGTCGGAGACACCATGTCTGTATAACTCAACGGGGTGACGTTATAGGGAGGCATCCTGTCTGTGTAACTCAACGGGGAGATGTTGTGGGGAGACATAATGTCGGTGTTACTCAACGGGACGACGTTGTGGAGAGATATCATGTCTGTGTAACTCAACGAAATGACATTGTAGAGAAGCATCATGCCTGTGTAACTCAACGAAATGACATTGTAGGAGACACCATGTCTGTATAACTCAACGGGGTGACGTTATAGGGAGGCATCCTGTCTGTGTTACTCAGCGGGACGACATTGTGGGAATGCATCCTGTCTGTATAACTCAACGGGGGGACGTTATAGGGAGGCATCCTGTCTGTGTAATTAACGGGGGACGTTATAGGGAGGCATCATGTCTGTGTAACTCAACGAAATGACATTACAGAGAAGCATCATGTATGTGTAACTCAACGAATTGACATTGTAGGGAGGCATCATGTCTGTGTAACTCCACGAAACGACATTGTAGAGAACTATCATGTCTGTGTAACTCAACGAAATGACATTGTAGAGAAGCATCATGTCTGTGTAACTCAACGAAACGACATTGTAGAGAAGCATCATGTCTGTGTAACTCAACGAAACGACATTTGACCATTTAAAGATCATTGAAATGGCTCACGTTTGTTACAGCTATAACAAGCATGTCCATAAGTCCATGTGCTGGCGTTTTGGGCAGTACGTCATATAGTGTTGTTACTACATCAAATGTATGGCGTTCATATGTAGGATTTATGAATGAAAGGAAACTGATGTAACCATAAAGTCGACTACACTGCCCGCCTGACAGTGATTGTAATTAGCACCGACATCGTGTGTTCGGTAATCTCGTATGATGAAGGCATGCTCAATGTACATATTTTCTCGTGTGATCTCGTACGGTCTCGTACGATACATTTCACAGACGAACCACGTGAGTTTGTGACTTCATACGTATGGAACATTTACATATCAAATCAGACATACTTATCAGGGTAAATGTCACTCGTTTTATTTGTCATTTTTCAAGCAGTCTCTTATACATTTCTTTTCGTAAAGGTCATTCTGAAGCTCAGTTAATGACATGTAAACTTGCCAGCACATGAGCTCTGCACCCAAAATGGTTCTCTGGGAAACAGGATATGGGGTGACAAACACACTTCTGCCGTGATTTTGGGAAAAGTCGTGTTTTAAACAAGTATGTAACCTCTGATACAATACATATTATTCTGTTCACAAGATTGACGAGATAAGTACGTACAGATGTGCCGCCATGCCCTGTATCAATCTCACGAGTCTACACCCCACCGAGTGGCATTGTACAGGTTAGGCGGACATCATTGTGGAAATACCGTGCACACCCATGTGGCCATTATACATCAGGGATGTATGTGGATTTAGTTTTTTTGGATTCGTAGACAATGTTTATGTAATCATTTAAAATGCACAGCAACATATTGTGGAACTTAGATTTGTGTACATGTGTGTACCGGAACGTCTTACAAGTATACAAGTGTTTTATTTTATGAATTTTGAGTTTAGAAATACTTTATCATCCTCATGATGTAATTTGAAGGCTGTGCGTCTGAAGCACTGGGATGCCTTGTTAAGAGTTTTCTATTAAACGATATGTCAGGTTTGAAGTTTATTACAAATAATGAAATTAAGATGAGTTCAGTAAGTTATGTAACGACCAAGTGTAAATTGTAAGTTATACGTACTGTGAGGGAGACGGACGAGCATATAAACGTGAGCAGATGTTGATATTCACAGTATTGTTGGCTTAATATAAACGTAATGAAAGAAATTAGTTTTCGATGACTTCGCAGTCATTCTACAGACGTGAAGTACCGTATGAAATATTTAATGAACTAACGTAGAACGCATTTTACTTCATGTTAGCCGTACTCAACATGCTTAGTGCTAAGCTAAAGGCATATTACTTACCACGGAAAAGTCTTTTGTTAACATCGCATGCAACATAAGGTCAAGATAGGGTCAAGGATGAGTAATAAGGTCAGGATAGAGTCAATGATGAGTACTTTGTAATAAGGTCAATATAGGGTCAAGGGTGAGTAATAAGGTCAATATAGAGTCAAGGGTGAGTAACAATCTGGTCAATGAGATTAACCACTTGAGTTAGCACTTCCTTAGTTTACTTCCATCTATAGCGATATATCATTCTTACTCATGCATTCATTTGTTGGGTGAGTGGATATTTTGATATTATAAAATATAAAATTATTAAATAAAATATATAAAACTACGATTTGAATACTGATTATTTCTTACATAACACATATGTGTGTATTACGGTGTGGCATTGGATCATAAACTCTGGCGTCAATATTCCTGCTTCAACAGTGTGGGTATTTCTACCATTAATGGTCAATTCTGCCCTTCAATCTACTGCGAGAATAACACAATTTTATTTTTCACAGTAGATTTTTTTTTTTTTTTAATCACATAAAATGTATTTTTATCAGGTTTACTAGTGTAACAAACCTATCATATACACAGTACACAGTTCTGCTACTGACGCGGTTCAGGCTAAAACTGCTGATGCAATGAACCGAGCCTAATAGTCGACCTTGACATGCAGTAGGTGCTGCAGGTTTTGGATTACCTTATTAGCGATGGCTAAACCATTGCCAGTGTATTTGGTAAGCGTTTGTCCTGGTCAATAAATGTTAACCAGACGACGAGCGCGTTTGATTTCGAACCATAAATAATAATAGTTAGGTTGCATATCAAAGAAACTATTATATAAAGATGGCATTTGTTATTTCCTCATTGAATTTTACTCAAACAAATCGCTCAGTGTCTAGGTCATAAGTGTATAGTTTTGTGTGATTGGGAATGGTACATTGGAGAAGTCCGTTCGTAGTTGTAACTCTCCAGAAGCCGCCCTATCGTACCAAGCTAACGGCAGAAGGCCATACGAGGAATGTCACTAAAGTACTACCAGCCGTTGACGCTAAGTGTGACCTGCATCTTCCTTCATGTCGTTTTGGTGATTCGGATTGAAGCACTAGACTCTCTTTACAACTGCCTGTGCCAGCCACTGCCAGGTATAAGCCTATTTTGCAAGGCCGCCCTCTTTAAAGTGCAGCCAAGATGTAGGCATAATAACCACTGGCATTACTGTCCCTGTCTTCGGATTCCGCCGGTAGAGGTCGCCTGCCGTCTCAGACGGTGTCATGGCGAGAGGTCAACAGCACTCTGCCAGATTACATTATCTACGCTCGTTAGATTTCACACAAAATTGTAATTTTATGAACAGTTTAAGAAGTGTGATGTTTCCCGCTGCGACTGTGCACCTGCCTACTTGGGAGAGCAGATAGCAGACCAAGATAGCCATCGATGTAGTAAAAGATTATACATTGTAAGATACAGGTTTCAGAAAGTTGTAAATGATTGTTGTGTATTTGCCCTGCAGTTTGTGAGCACATGCTCTACTTCATAATGTGTGAATCAAAAGCGCTCGTCATTGATAATGAGTATATACAAGTGGTTATTAATGAATAAAACGATGTCGCACGCGATGTAAACGGAATAGAATGTGCCCTATACATATATAACAAGTTGATGAATAGAACCCTCTACCGAAACACACAATCAACATCCAATTATAATAAAAAAAAAATATGTGATTACACTTTGGTTTTTTTATTCGATCAAATAGGTACATTGTGTTCAGTTTATGTCATATTTTGACATGTTGAGCAGGAACAACCAAATTCAACCTATTAAAGAAGTCAACAATGTACACTGTATACATATGTGCGTAACGCCACGAACCGGTCGCAGTCATCCAGGACAAGTCTTCACACAAGCGCAAAAACCCCACCTGTATGGCTTAAATACACACATGTGTATCGGTTCAAATTCCAATTTACCATTAACATCATGCACGATACACTTGCCATGTGCCTTTGTTATAAACGTACTTGAAGCACAATTGAACGTTTTCCCCAAAAAGCATCGCCTTGTTGTTCTATGATGTTTGGTATTGGTGCCAAAATGGAATTCAAACGTAGACCGCCCGGCATGTTGCGGCCCGTGGGAGGCGGGTCAGGTACACTGTTGTACGTGTCGGAGTGATCCATCACTATGTACTCTTCAGTAGTCTGTTTTTGATATCCTAATTGTAATTATTCCATTCCTGGACCGATTCCTGAGCGGCTACGATTACAGGTCTTTGTTATGATGTTCTCGCTTTCCTACCGCTTATGCCGACAATGTAAACCATGACGAGTCAAATCTATATTGTGGTATAGATATATATACATATAATTTGTTTATTCTAACAGGAGAAGTTGCAGGTTGTGAAGCAAAAATAATCCATTGTGCATTTAATACCGGAATGTCTAAATACCGTATCTGTTCTTGCCAGCGTTGATATGCAACGCAATCATGAGTGGCACCCCAGGAGAGACATTGTTACGAACACTAAACAAAGGTGCTTGGCTCAGCAGACAGGACGTGATATCCATGTTCACCTTAAATTTGTTCTTCGTCCAATTTCTTCTAGATGCCGGGATTACGATATCCATCGCTACAATCTGTTAGAGGCGTAAGCTTGTATGTTCTTCTACATGAGTTGTCCATTCTGTCGTTGCAGGTTCACACCAGAATTGCGGTCGGCGGTTTGACGGTCACGGTGGAGAGATCGCCCATTCTGTGATTGGGGGAAATGTCCATTTTGACGACGAAGAGGATTACAAGTCGATAGAGTCTATCAACATGGAGAAGGATGGCATCTATCTTCTCCGGGTGGCCGTGCACGAAATCGGTCACGTGCTCGGTCTAACCCATACGGACAAGCCCTATTCTATCATGTACGCAATCTACCAGACAGTGTCTACAGATAAGGAGTTCGAGCTAGGTTGGGAGGACAGAAAACAGATTCAGGCATTATACGGTAATACTTAGCAACCACAGAACGGTTGTCTTAAAGAAATATGCTTAATCCAACATGCATCTCTAACACAAAATACTTTTCCAATTAGAGATATGTACAATTATGGGTTAATGAAGGGGTAACATAATTAAAAGTGCACACGATTCATGTATTTGTAACGCTCTCAAGCACTTACAAAAATATCGAACATTATAGTTTGGGTCTGTCGTTGATATATAGTAAGTGTTTTATAAAATAGTCGCAAGGAAAGGAAAGCAAATATGAACCATTACTAAAATCCTGTTCCGTCTCATTGATTGTATACTATGTAACGGACTCATATTTAAAGAAAAACCTCACCTAAAACATTTACTTTTTTGCAACCCAGAAGGCGTTTTTTTATGCATCAAGCATAAATACTTTTAAAAAATAACACAACTACAGAAAAGACTAAACAAATCACTTCAATAAACAAGTCAAAAAGATTTATATTTTTCAAAATATTAAGATACTATACAGATGGAAAATTGACATTTGTTATAGTATTAGCTTTTCATAGTTTAAAGAAAACATGAGGAGCGTATTGCCTAGACTGACGTAGGCAATTGGGTGCAGTTCTGAACACAGACATATTTAATGTTCATGGAATCAGGATATCTTCTGTTACTCGTGTCCGCCCGTTCATATAGAAACGTGACATCTCTAACGGGAACAATTACACACATAAAACACAGCCTGCCATTAGTTTTGATTCAATGATACACAGATTACTGGTGTTACGCAGGATTATAATGCAATGCGTGGCAATTCAGGAGACGTTTGCGCTTATTGCATGCGGTTTCTGGTAGATGATGGTTGAATGAGTGCAAACGTCCCACGTCAGACAGATCTAATGGATCACATCGCAGGCTTATTAGCAACAATTCACCATTTTAAACAATAAATTAGCAAGCAACCTTCGCGCAGAACAGTTTTTGTTTAAGAAATAGAAATGTGTAAGGAAATCTTTGTTTGGCATAATTCCACATGTACTATTAAACATAAATAATTAATGTACGCGGTACGTATTTGGCTAATTGCTTGCCTCCCTTCACAGGTGTCTGCAAGGGCCGGTTTAGTGCGGTGTTCGACTGGGTACGGAAACGACCTGACAACCAGTTCATCTTCAACACATACTTTTTCCGTGAAAACCACTACTGGATGTACGAGAATCATGCCAACCGCACGCGCTACGGCGACCCCCTGTACATTGCACGTGAGTGGAAGGGTGTGCCCAATGACGTCGACGCCTATATCCATGTCTGGTACTTCTCTGGCAACGTTATCATAGACGATGCGTACTTCTTTAAAGGTAAATCAATGTGAAGACACATGGCGAATGATAGCTGAAAGCAGACCCCATATGACCAATTAAATTTTAAAATCCAGGATAACCTTGACCATCTACAAAGGACAAGTTCTTTCTTTAAAAATTTAAAAAAATATCCTATTAAAAGTACCAGATATCCACTAACAATCGTTCAACCCATTCCAACTTCTGTAGCTCACATCTGCAAGAAAAAGATACATTTGTGTTGCTGAAGTATAGAGGGGCCATTGTTCAGCGTTTTAACAGTGATGTGCCCTTTCGATTTCTTTTAATGCATGTCCTAAAATACTGTTTTCTGGTCGTTATAATTGGGCAGACTGTCTACAGTATAAATACATTCCTGCCAATGTTGTACCGCAGTATGTATTATGAATATAATTACGTTGAAAGATATTTGACGAATGGAGTTGGATTTTATTACTCAAGATGCATCATTCAAGATGTCCGCAAAGCTATCGGCCTCCTGTCAAAGTCTACTTATGATTTACCTCTTGTATTTCTTATATAGCCCTAGCGAGAATAAAATCCACAATATGTCTATTTCAAAATTACGTGAAAACTAATAACATTTTATTTGTGGGTTTTTTATTTAGATATTTATCTTTCATTTTTTTAATGTGCAAAATTGTTTCAAATTTCTTCAAGCAACACTTTACATAATACAAATCAAAAGAAATTTCTTTGCGAGATGTGATGGTGAGTCCAAGTCTTATCCTAGTCAGAACTAAAACGTTTTCAATATTTTGGATTTTTTAACTACATCGTTTTGGTAATTTTCCAGAACTGATTTATGTGCACACTGCTGATATTAGCTTATGTTGTGTCACATTTTAACATTTAAGACAAATTTTAAGCAAACTTGCTTTTTTTTTTGTAGTTAATGAATTACATGTAAAATTAAATCGGAACTTCGAAGTAACAGTCCCCGAGCGCTTTCGCCAGTTCATGTGAAAATATTTTGAATTTTAACATACATTTTGTGACTTTTTAAGATAAATATTGATTATAAAATGACAACAGATATTTTTTGGTGATTTTCTCGGGGGATTCTTTTTTTATTTTCGACTTTTAAATATTCTATGTTTAAGTGGAGGTTTTTGTGTGAAATTTAATCTTTCTGTTAATTCTGTAAATCCTTCTTGTTTTATAGTCGGCATTTATAGTTGCCATCTTGAAAGAACATTTTGGTCATCATCTAGGCGGCAACCCAGAATGATACATCATTGGTAAAATATCCAACAATATTCTCTCCTATTCGTTAGACATAAAACCATAACAAACTAACTTATATACTTATACACGAATAAATAGTTTAATATCTGATAAATATAGTTCGTAGAACTTGCGGAAGTTGGAAGATGAGAATACATTTTTGTAACACAGACATCGTCATACATTGAACGTCGAACGTTAAAATTTCCAATTGTATTGATGCATGTGACAACAGTTGTAAGAGATATAATAGGCGAGGGGTGGGGTGTAGTGTTATTTTGTTACGTAACAACCTTCGATTAATGGGAACCGTCGTGCAGGGACACGATAGTGACATTAGCTCAACAATATCACAAGGCCTTGCTCGTGAGAATGATGCTAAATTCATAACTTGTCGTGTTTGTTACAAGGTAACTCCATACTGCACTATAAAAATGGAAATGTCGAAACAATTTATTGTTACGATTTATTCAACGGAAAATGGAACCCCGTTAGACCTTATATATCAATGCATCAAAGAATTACTATCAGATACATACCTTATATCGGAGTTCGGAAAGTTCGCAATTCAGTGCTGCAATATGAAAATTCTAATTGGCCTTATCTACAATAACAAACCAGCAGTGTGGATTAAAACCGTACAAGAGCATTTCATATGTTTTGTGGCGAGCCCCTTCCAACCAGTATTGCGGATTGGAGCCCATAAACGATTTTCGTGTTTATAGAGACACGCTTTTCACAACCAACATTGTGGATTATAACCCATAAACGATTTTCGTGTTTATAGAGCCACGCTTTCCACAACCAATATTGTTGATTGTAACCCATAAACGATTTTTCCGTGTTTATAGAGACACGCTTTCCACAACCAATATTGCGAATTGGAACCCATAAACGATTTTCGTGTTTATAGAGACACGTTTTCCACAACCAACATTGTGGATTGGTCTAGATTCTTTCCATGTTTATGGAACCGCGCCCTTCATAACCATCATTGTGGATTGGAATCTATAAGGTCTCAGTCTTTGTTTATGGAGACACGCCCTCCACAAACAACAGTATGGAGGGGAGCCGATAAATGTTCTTTCCCTGATTATTTTGACACGCCTTTCACAACTAACATTATGGATTAGAGCCAATCAATTATCTTTCCGTTTATTTAGACACGCACTCCACACCCATTATTGTCGATTGGAACCTATAAGGTCTCGTTCTTTGTTTAAGGAGACACGCCCTCCAAAACCATCATTGTTAATTGAAACCTGTAAGGTCTCGTTCTTTATTTATAGAGACACGCCCTCCACAACCAACAATATGTTGGCGTGTATAAGGCTAGATGGGCTTTCTTTGTTTACTATGCCACGTCGTTCTACTCTTTCTGTACGTGTTCGATGGTACGAGTGTCTGTCATTTGAAATAACGACCTTCCACTCCCCTTATAGATTGCATTATAATAATAATAATAATTCGAGGTTCTTATATACCGCTTTATCACAACCTAGGTGGTAGGTCGTCTCAAAGCGGCTCACAAATTATTATCCGTGGAAATAGGGCCTTGCTCATTGCAAAATGCTCTTTCCCTAGATAAGTTCCCTGAACCATTGTAAGTATGACATCTTCCCTGTTCACTGCGTCTGCGCTACGTTTCGTCGTAGTTGCAATATGTAACCACCACTGATAAGTCGTATTCAGTCTAGCTTGGTGCTCCGGGGTTGTTCCGCGGCTTTCCCTCAATATCATTTGATACTTTCCGCGGGTTTAAACTCAATTACTCACAAAGCGTGAATTTATGGAAAGTAATAGAAACGGTGTCCATGGTATAATGGATATTAACACTACATTTTAGTTTTGGCTGAATCCTAGGGATACGTGTTAAGGTCTGTTACATTACGATTTGTATGCACGTAATTGATATGTGATGTAAAGTGCCTAAAGTTGTGAAGATGTCAAAAGGAAATTACCACAGTCACTATAAGGTTTCCACTAGATCGTTACCAATTACCATTAAGCGTTAAAAATAACTTGACGGAACAATTGAATTAATTCTGTTCGTTGAGATTGACGGAGAAAGAGCAGACGTTTTTATTTGGTTTACTTACAACTCCAATTGTTATCCCTACTGGACAGAATATGTGGTGTAAACCTTTCCTGGTTGTCGCTAGGGGTTACTGATAAACTACTCGAATACGCTACCAAAACATTTAGATTTCAGAATTTATTGGCTAAATGAAGCTAATCAGAACATCTTTATTTAGTGGTTGGAACAATTAAAAAAAATATCGATTTCAAGATAGATAATCCTTATCTTACCATAATGTAAATAATTTGAATGTTACTCAAAGAAATATCGAATTAAAGATAAGTAATTCATCTATAAATTGTGATGAAGAACAGCGTCAAGAGACACTTTCGCATTCCAGTTGTATACAAACAAGAAACTTTCTTTTATGTTTTGTCTGTCTTGAATTTTCTATGCAGACCGCAGAATAACACATTCTTCAGTAGAGTTCCTGTTTTTCTGTAGACTTAATTATTAGACCACGACATGCAATTCTGCGGTAAACCAATTTTACATCAGCATTTCTTTTAAGACTTTAGATAGGCAATGTGTGTAATTGAGTACAATGCAATATTTCTGTATTATATATGTCCTAATACTAAGCTACCAATATTATATTTCCAGGCGAGGATTACTACAAGTACAACAGTGATGGTGATTTAGTCTATGCGGGCTGGCCGCGACGAATTCGGGATGACTTTGGCCCAAAACCAGGAGAGGAGGGTGCTGAAGGCGTTCCAGATCATTTGGATTCAGTTTTCTTCGATATGAGGGATAGGAATATCTATTTCTTCAAAGGCGAATGGGTAAGTGGATCTCTAGTGCAAATCGTTCACAGTTAGATGAAGCTAAAGTGGCCAATGAGAGGCAGAGAAATAGGTCTTATCATTTGCGACTCGCTTGCACTCTGAAGAATGGGGTGGACGCAACAAGCGACAAGACACGACACTTAGGTTTCGAGTTTTCCGCACGAATCATGAAAATGATAAGATAACAAAATCATTATGAAAGATTAAAGGAATGTGTAGTCAGATACTAGTATATTTTGATCTTGTGATAGAGTGATGCATTGTATTGTGTTTCGCACAAATAATTGCACTTTATTTTTGCATTTTACATTAAGGTTTACGTGTTCGATCCGAAGGAACCTGAGGAGACCCGAGGATGTTGCATCCGGAAGCGGAAGTTTGTAGAAGAATTCCCGACCGTGGAGGGAGACGAACCCCTGATTGGAAATGTTGACGCTGTTTATTATTCTTACAAAAACAAAACGGTTTATTTTATCAAGGATGAACATGTTTGGCAAAATTATCTTTTTCATCCCCGGCAAAAGAAGCAGATTAGGAACGCTGTAAAATATGTAGGCAAATGGTATGAGATTTGGTTCGACATTTGTGATGTACGTAAAATGCACGACGAACCGTTTCTTATTCAGAGTGACATTGTACCCTTACCGGAACCTGATGACCCCGAACCTGGAACGTGATTAAAACTTGTCAACCATCGGAGACATTACGAAAAACAAACATAATATGGGAGCAAATCATGATCAAAATTAAGTGTTCAATAACAAAACTACTGAAGCGCAAGCCGGTCACGTGATGTATGCGGCAGGAATTGGTACACCGGTGGTGACTCGTGGGAGCTAACTTTATATCTAGTACTTCTCTCATAAGAATGCATATTTACTTACTAAAACTATTACTGTATTGCTGTTATACAATATCTACAATACGACATCCGGTTAACACTGACACAATGCGGACACCTGTCATTTCCCATACACGAATATAATATGGATATTTGCAAAATGTACCAGTTCGGTTCTCGGATGACGTCATCATTGATGTGATGTCATCACGTTAATAGTGTGTTTGTTGACTGATCTAACACAAAAACTTACCGACAGATAGAATCGATCTTAAAATGGATACAGTTTTTCCAATGTGTCAAGGATATCTATTTAATGTAACATAAGTACATTCCCTGTTCACCGAGGTGATGTAAACCTTCCTTCATTGACTTAAAACGTGTGAAAGAAGACCACCATCACTGTTTACTGTAATCATGTGCAAACTGTCTCACTGACTGCTATACGCTGTACATACCCCGAACTTATAAACAGCTTGGATAGGACCTCGCCGTGGTGAGTGATGAACACTGAAATCCGGTGGCTCTTGTTAGCTAGGTTGTGCCATACCTTCCATTATTCGGGCTATATCTGACAATTTCACTGCATTTGGGGTATCTGTTATTTGTTTCCAGGATGTCGTCGCTGCACATGCGCACTCCAGTGTAGTAATTATGACAGGAAGTGATGAGTTATTGTGGTACGGAGATATGCGTGTGAGCCACGCATTGTTAAAAGACACCTCGACATGTACATATACATATATATATTTATATCTATGGTTCATTTTGAAGTCATTCGATGCTGTGATAATGCTATTTTGTACAAATAGTAGGATAGTTATTTATTGATTCAAACAGATGTCCAAGGAAGTACAATCTACTCGCAATATATAACTTGTTTGCTATTCTTCAAGTCTATTTAATTTCATTGATACTAACGATCAGTTCTTTTGTGTCGCACTTTTTCCCATATCCCTAAAGAATTTATTTATTTGATCAAATATTAATAATTGACCACACTTTTATAAAACCACCTATGTATAGGAAAACATTAGTCAAATAAGTACCGTTCACACTTTTTGTATGATTTTTAAATTTAGTTATAAATTAAGAATATAAAATAAATATAATACAACTTCAAGGCAATTAAACGTTTTGGTATAATGTACTGAAAAATATTTTGTATTACTTGTTTGAACTGGTATGTAAGTCTTTGGGCTTTACTTTATAACGTGTGTAAGTGCAGGATAATGAATTGTCACGTTAATTGGATTTATCAGAGGTACCATTCTGTCTCAAGTCAAAACAATGTCATTTTAACGCACTCTTTCACGTGATTATCATATCGGGCGAATAGGTGTGTACATCGTCATGAATCACAAAAAGGTGAAACGTCATCGTATGCTGTGCATATAAACACACAGCACAGTATTTTGTATGTAACTAAGATATGATAAACTGTATACATTTTAATACATAACGGTAGATTTTGTACAATGTCAGATGTCAGAATTTATTGTGTCCCCAAAACATCACACATTTTAACATAGGATATGTGCAATACAGAACGGTACAACATCCTATACCTAAGGGTACAATGTATTTATACCATGGTCATTTTTATCATTATATAGAAATCATTGTGACATGCTGTATTGTATTGCGATGTGATGTATTGCAGTGTGTAGTGTATTATAAACACATTACACCACACCCGTTACACTGGTGTCGTTGTTAATCTGTTACAAAATCATGCTGTTTGTATGTCAATTTAATTAATGCATTAACTCATCGTCATTATCATTCTCGTCGCCACTATTGTGTTTTCATCGTCACTCATTGCCTGTATTAAGTCATGTTCTGGACTGAGAGATGTCAAGATTCCAGACATAACGTTATGTTTTGAGATTTTAATTTGGTTATGTGTATATTTTTACGTATTTTATTTATACCACTCATTTATCAACAGTTAAATGTCAAAAACTGTTGACATTGTCGTCTGTTTTCATCAAAGCCATCGTCGTCGTTGTCATTTTTTTTATTGTTAATTATCGAGACATAAATCCATACTCATATGTTCATTGCATCTTGCACTGGTTAAAGAGAATGTCGTCGACATGAGCCTCGCTCTGATGCCCGTTACCAAGGTGTGTCACTTGGTTATCATCGTATCTATGATGGTTTCACTGGCACGTGTCGCCAGATCGTCACGTGCACTAAGTGGTTCAGCTTTGGAGTCAGTGGTGAAAACAACAACAAATAAAAACTGAACTCAGAAGTATGTTTTTGTTGTCTGTCCATAGATATATCTATAAACTATCAGCTTGAGAAATCGTTATTCCGTCTTTGCGTATTGCAGAGTTATCTTCTCTTGAGAGCAGGTATTGATTGTTACGTCATTGGTTTTTGTGAGAAAATTACGTCGTTTTCTCAAAAATTGATGACGTTACTCTCACAAACAAATGACGTAACAATCAATACCTGCCACAAGAGAAGATAACTCTGCAATACGCAAAGACGGAATACTCATCAACTAAACACATTGATTATTTTATTGTGCACAGTCAGTCCTTTTTGTTGAGAACAAAGGTGATTATCGAAGCTTGACTGAAAACCACAGCAGCTAAGTACGTTTCGCAGATTGGTTTATTTAAAATAATGCTCATGTTGAGTTAATTGGTTAATAAATCGATAAAGAAAATAGTCTGTTTATCAACAAAATACAGTCAAGTTTAATACTTTTAATTTAATACTTAAATACATCATTAATTTTCCGTTTTAATATCTATTTTCCCTCGAACAACCACTGTTTGCTAGTAATGCTAATTCGAAAATAAATCTTCTTTGCTCAGCACAGGTACTGCGTATAACATAAAGTCTATACAGATCAATTTAAGGGTAAAACGCAACGAAAACTGGGGATAACGTTCTAGGGTCAAAATTGAGTAGATAGAGAGATGAATATACATGATTCGGATACACATGCCCGAAATCCACTTGCACAATCCTTCCCCCTCGCCCTACTTTTCAGCATCGTAGGGATCAGAGGATAATTTTTATTTACAGACAGGAAAACCAGACATAATTATAAATACTTATAAACAATAGAGCATAAACCTAGATGGAAAAACAATACATTGATAGTATCTGAAAAGAAAGTGTTATTAAACAAATAGTAATATTTCAATGAACATCATCAACCGACAAATATTGTACGGTATTCACCTTACGTTAATCTCCTTCTCTGGAAATACTGCTTCGTCGCTGGTTGTTCAATTGTCTATGAATATTAAGAAGAAAAACTTCAAAAATGAAAAGTGGCACGTTTTGTTACTGGTATGATATCCTGAACTGGATTGGAAACCATGTCTTAAGGACGCGCAGACCACAGGAGTAAACTTTATTTACTAATTTGTTTGTTTGTTAAAGAACAATGATATGGAATCTTCCTAACTTAAAGATATGCTTCAGCCCAGTGTTACTTTTTCAACATCCTATAACGTAACGATGAACTTTACCATTATAAATTATCCTTTACAAATATTTAAAAACTCATTCATACCATCGATTGTCAAACAAATTGTTCATGCATTATGCAATATTTTGACGCAACCACGAAAAAAAACCTACTTTTTTTCTTTGAAAGCAACTTACTTTTCTATCTACATCTACAGTAGTCTATGACCGAAAATTAAATATCCAACTGGTTTTAATGAGGAATGGTAAGTTTTACAATTGATGACGTTACTGTCACAAACAAATGAAGTAACAATCAAAACCTGCTCTCAGGAGAAGATAACTCTGCAATACGCAAAGACGGGATTCCGTCTTTGCGTATTGCAGAGTTATCTTCTCTTGAGAGCAGGTATTGATTGTTGCGTCATTGGTTTGTGTGAGAAAATTACGTCGTTTTCTCAAAAATTGATGACGTTACTCTCACAAACAAATGACGTAACAATCAATATCTGGTCTCAGGAGAAGATAACTCTGCAATACGCAAAGACGCTATAAGATGCAGTGTAATTCCTTTTGACATACTGTTTCCATTACTAAATGTTGAAGGTGCAGTCATCTGTGTGTTTGTTAAGTTCACTTTTTAAGACACAATATTTACATTTGGTGTGGCAAAGCCCTTCTATATTACTACTAAAGTACTGCCAATAGCAGCTTCATCTTATGAGACTATAACTGAAGTTGGTCTTTGCACCTCCGAGCGACTTAACAGTGTCACTACCGAACTTATCGGTATCTTCTGCTTTGAACCCGAACACCAGCTGCCTGTCTCAAGTGTCTGTGAGATCAACAAACAATTTTACGCCTGGATTTGTCACCAATTCAACCTTCTCCGGTTGCACGATCAACATCAACATGCCGGACTGCAAATATAAAGTGTAACTCTGACCTGATTACTGCGGGCTTCCGTTGAGTGCGTGCGCCGGATATAGGTCGCAATAAAATCGGAAAATGTGTTACGACACTTGATTAGTTAATTACAAAATGTTATTTGTTACTATTTATGAATTGAGAATATGATATGTATATAAATTAAAAACAAATGAATTATTAACGACAGTTGCGGAGCCTTTTCAATTTTGTATGGTAAATAGCGTGTGACGTCAGCTGTTATCTTTGCCGTTCTAGATATTGACCTGACCTGACGGTAATAAGCAGGATATTTGAAAGTTGGAAAAGACGTAAATTATTTTTTGCGAATTCTCATTACGAAAATAGAAATATAAGCAATAAACTGCATAGATGTGGCAGACCAACTGGTATAACTGCCACATGTGTCACAGACAAACTGAATGGTATACTCTGCTGGTGGATTTCGTGATGTCCACAGTATTCGTTTTGAGTTAGGGCTCAGTTCATACATTTTAATATACACAATTTACTTATTATTTAATATACACACTTTAATCATTATTAATCTTGATCTTCACCAGTACTTCTCGAAGTTTTGAAATGCATACATTTAAGGATTTTAAGAACCTCTCCTTCTGTTTCAACAGCATCTTAGACCGATTTGGACCCAACTCATTGGCCTAGAATGACGAAACAGTATATGATTCAGTATAATTCATTTTCTGGCAACTGTATATATCACCGAATTATAAAGGCGCAATCACGGGTGTGTATTACGTTTATTCATATATATCATACCGAACAATCACTACTATAATTAAATTTACTTGAGAAAAAATCCTATTTAAAAGTGAAAATCAATCGAGTAAGAACAAAACCCAATCAATATGTTCCACAGTTTATACCGAACATTTAAGCAGTATTTTTAATTAATGACATTTGTTTTTTATCTGCCTTCGTCTCCTCTCTCTCCTCCCTGTTTTCTCTCCATTCAAGCCCCATGTCTCTTCTCCATGTTGTCTCATTTTTTCTCTCCGTTCCAACCTCATGTCTCCTCCCCATGTTTTCTCGTATTTGTCCCCTTTCCGACCCAGTGTCACTTCGCCATGATTTCTTCGCATTCACTCCTCTCTAACCACTTGTCTCTCTTTTCAATTATCATGCTTCCTCACCTATATTTTCTCCTCTTTCACTCCTTTTTATTCTGATACCCCTTCCTGTTACTTTGTTCTAATCATGTCCGGTCTTCTCTTTCTCATTTAGTATTTTAAGCGTGTTGATGCCGTCTGTATACGACACGGGAATGAACATAACATTTTGCCAAGATAGTGCTCGAAACTGTGGCAACATATTAAATTCGTAAGTGTAAACTAAAAATACCACTTGGTTTTATCGGAATAACTGTTTTATCATGGTATTTGGTCTACTGATTTGATTGTGGAATTAACCTTTTAAACAGCCTGGTATATGGATGTTAGCACAACACATCCCGGAATTAACCTTTTTAAACTTTCACCATGAGGTGACCGGCCTAGATAGCCTGGTATTTATGCAGGTTTGAACAGAACATTCCATTAAAATAAGCAACGACTTCAACAAAAAATGGACAGAAATAAACTCCCGAATATCCCGTTGTGTCCAGTTGAATTGAGCATCAAATGCAGCATCAATGCAATTAACTTGTTGCCAAGATCAGACAACGCCCACCAACACGGATCTGTACTCAGCAGTTATATGCTCGTTACCAGATCATAATACTCTTATACATAACAGTAATTTCATCATACGATTGAAAACATCATATTGTTCATCCAAGAAATAAGGTTCCAATCCAAAGGACATAAGAATGAAATAATTAGCAGGTGGAGTTGTGTTAGAAAACAGGTCACGTGTCTCGTGCTCCTTTATAATTTAATGTTAATTCCCACTCGTTAGCTAATGAGTGATGTATAAGAGCTTTCAATGTTGTCTATAGTGCGCGCGTATAATCGGCCGTTAAACATACCTGTCTGTTGGCTTACACAGACTCACAAGTACACGCCGTACAAACGTATCACCCTCTGATTACCTCAAACCAACGGAATGGTAAGTATTCAATTTATATACAAGTATTTTAAAGACAAAAAAATCATCTACTTCGACAGACTGCACGATGAACGGATGCTACAATATTATACGCATAGACCAACCTCAAAATAGATAAAACCGAAATTATTTCATCTCAAATTCAGGGATGTATTCATGGGTTTCAAGTGCGACAAATTATGCTCTTGACGACGTGGTCGGGAAACTCATTTACCACGTAAATAGAAATGTAGAGAAAACTGCACACTAGAAGTTGTTTGTATATTGCGGATCTGCCACATTCTAATGAATCTTAAACGAAGCTTTGATTAGGTGGTCGTGTCGTGTTGTTACGCCGTCGCGGTTTACATATGAAGTTAATAATACATACATGTGCTGGAAATCGAAGACTAGAAGCATATCTACAGTAGGTGCATCTATGTATGTTTTGAATTACATTTGGTGGAGCACTGACCTTCTAAATATTTACTAGAAGCATAAAAAAATGAATCACCTATTAAAACTAAGTGTGCATCGGGGTCGTATGGGGTAGGGTATGGGAAATGGTTAACATTTGTACATGTATGATAAAGTCTCTTACTGGCTATTATTACCCAATAGTCTATATACATTTTAATAAGTCATTTTTGACTGTTTCTGGCCTTTTGTTTAATTTCGGCTGTAGGGATGATAGTTTTGACTGTTCCCCAAATAGCCATAAAACAATTGTATACTGTTATCAGACATGAGTGATGTTGAATGTCAGTTATAAGTTAATACCCGCCGTTATCAGACATGCTTGATGTTGAATGTCAGTTATAAGTTAATTTCCGCTGTTATCAGACATGC